TTTTTATATAAGTACCAAGAAGAAAACCAAAAAGTGTCCATTACTAAATCTAATAGCACAGTGTACACAATAATAATACATTTAAATAGTACACAAAGGGATACAACACAAAATAAAATCCTTCTTTCTTTTCCCATCCCAGTTTCTCTCCCCAAAGATTCTTGTGGTTGCTTCTAGAAAAAAGATTTATGTATATTCCCACATCTGTTTATATTTTCTTTATTTTCAACTTTACAAAATAAGAATCATACAATACACACTCAGGCACCTCATGCAAAGCACATCTTAGAGCGCTTTAGTATCAGTGCCTGAATAGGTGCCATATTTTTTTAATGGCTACATGCCAAGTATTTCTTCTTATAAGTGTATCGCTATTGCAGGTACTTTGTTTCTTTTTGACTATAACAAATGAGAAAAAGATACTTTTTAAGAGATAAATATTTTCATTTTTATAATGAAATAAATAGTATATATCTATATAGTGTATATTTGTGTATAATGAAATATATGTAGTATATTGAAAAAAGACCTAAGTCTTTCTGTTTAAGTGTAGAATCCCAAACCAGTGGAATATTTTACTAGAGGGAATTTAACAATGACTAGAGGGCATTTGTAAGCAATCCTGTAAAGACATTTTGGAAATAAAACATTTATTAATAAATCTAATAACAACATGCATCCAGAAGTTATAAAAACTTATAGCCATAATTTTCCAGCCCATTTAGACATTCTTGAATCATGTTAGTACTAAATATTAAATTATTGAGGACTTATAAATCAAAACTAAGGAATGAAAATAAAAGTAAATAAACATATAAATCATATTCATTTTAACCCTGATGGGGACTAGAAGATTTTTATTCAATAATACGCATTTTTAAAATCTTTTAACAGGTCCTCTTTGGTAATTAAAGGCAAATTCTGAGCAGTTTATGGCAGCCGCCTTAGCTAGAAGTTTTCCAAATGTAGATTTCTTTAAACACACTTAAAGTGATTTTTTTTCTTGCTACTTCCCTGCATGGTTGAGAAACATCAAAAGTATACAACACCTGATAATCAAGAGGTTGGAAATCTGTCTGACAAGACAGATTCCTCAGGAAAATTGAGGTGTGTGTTACAAATATTTCACCATACTGTGTTTGTGGCAAGTGTAACTTAAAGTGGGCAAGGACAAGGTGCTCAGTTTCATCCACAGGGTAAGGTGGCACCTCTGACCTTCCGTTAATATCTGGGTTCTGGTTACACACGTGTGTGCACGTTATAGAATGTTTTGAACTGAACACCTAGGATTTGTGTACTTTCCTGTATGTATGTCACGTTAAAATCTACATTAAAAATAATGCATAGTGTTAACATCATTATAATAAGTAGAAATCAAACATTTAAGCATTCTCACTTCTGTGCTCTAGAATGTCATTGTTTTTATTTTTTTGGTACTCATTTATATTAATTTCCTGATTTGAATGGGCAGTTTTTATAGTTATAAACATTGTATACCTATTATCAGTTTTCCCTTAATGTGGGAAAATGTTTCTAAATAGTTTTCAGGACTTAATATCAGAATTTAACCATGAATCCTTTTATATTAACCTGCTTAATTTTGTGGCATAAAATCAAAGTTTGAAAGTACACATTTGACAACTTTGAGAGTATTAGAATTCACTTTTGATCAGTAGCCTTTCATGTTCCTGAAACTGTATTTGTTTTTGAAATAATGAAAGCTATGGGATTTTTATGTTAATTTTGTAGCTTTGAAAAGCTCACTCTTCGAACATGTTTTCTCAGAAATCTAGGCAACACCAGTCAACTTTTTAAGGTTAACAGAACCAGGATTTCCAAATCCTTCATTCCCTCAGACCCTGTGTCTTCGGAGCAGTTAGGTGCATGGATAGAAAGCCTTTAAACAAGCAATCTGCTTTGTGGTGTTTTTGTCTTTCTAACGTCTGCCAGGTTAACTAAATAAAAGAACACCTTTCCCTTTTTGAAAACATAAGACCCAGGGAAGGAAAACTTAACAGCTGAGGGAGATTATATGTTGTTTTCATCCATTTGCCCAAGTACTTTGGTGAAACCCCACGTTCTCTAGTGCTGGTAGAAATGTATTTTGCTACAAGACGTAATTTCACTATTGGAAAATGCGCACACCCGGCACCTCTGAGTCACACTTGTAACTCAGTTGCAGTCCCCGCAGCCTCCTGTTTAAACCTGATCTGCAGCCCGGGCCCCGCTTGCTGCGCTGCACCTGCGCTGGGCGCCTGGGCCAGTGCATGACGGCCCCCGACCTGCAGCACTGCCACCCTGCGGTGCCCGCTCTCTGCTTTCCTTTTAAGGGCCACCTCAAATGCCACCCCCACCCGACCCTTTAATGAAAACCAGGGCTCCTCCTGCTCTGCCCCGGTGTACCTGTCACACAACTGTCACAGCAAATAGGCGCAGCAAATAGCCGCATTATCATTATTTACCTCTTGGCCACGCGGTCGGGGCCACGCGTACTTACCTGTCCGCAGCGCCTCTCAAGGTGAGCGTTCAAGAAATGTGTGTTGAATGGAATTGAGGCATTGGGACAGGCTGGGCTTGTAAGTGCCAGTTTGTTTCAGGGAAGATATTTTCTCAAATGTGTTCTCATTTCAAGTTTATGCTGCCATTTCCTGAGTACACAGGGAAATACATATAATTATATAAATATATTTATACACTTCTCTTCTTGGCTGCAGCCTACTTGGTAATAAAATTCCAGACCTTTTACTTTTCAACATTTGGAGCATAGTAGAGGATTTGATTAGGGTCAAGAAACCTTTGGCCAAAAGGAACTTTGTAAATTGCGTAACAGTTTCATTTGTTATGATATTCTTTATTAGGGGTTAATTGAGAGGTAGTATAAAATGGCTACATATCCTGTAGTAGGGAAAAAGCCAAGAATTAAATATTTTGCTATTTATTTAACTGTTTTTTAGCAGGGAATTCTGAGAGAAAATAAGGTTACTGTGGTAGTTGGTTTAGATCATGTGACATACTCCTTTACTTTGATACTAGTGTGGACCTTGAGTGACAGTTACAACAATAAGTTCCCTTTAAAACAAATGTCCTTAAAGAACTTAAAAAAAGAAAGTAGTAAATTGACTTCTCATCACCCAAATTCTTTGTTTTTGACACAAAATAATATATAGTGAAATTTTTTCAATTTCAAAAGCTGGTAGATGAAAGCACAATTGATTCTTTTGACAATGTTTGAAAGGTTGTTTTTTTTTTTCTCATTTGACATGCAGCAAGGACATATGGGCGAAGGAGAGGTAACATTATTGTTTCTAACTTTTGAATGTATAGTTGTATTTGGAGAGGACTCAAGTTTGCTCAATTTATAATGATCGTGGGGAAGCGGGGCTGGTGGGGGAATGGAACATAGGTTTGATTCATATATACTTTACGCATTGTAGTTACCATCTAGATATTCTAATTTCAAGGAGTCAGAATGGTAGGATTTGGATTTGAACCAACATAATTTTCATATATCTTATTATAAGCTCAACTTATTTATATCTAAAGATTTGTTTCCTTTTCCTGAAAGGAATTTCTTAGGAGAAAAACAATTAAGATTCTTTAAAAAGGAAAATCCAGTCCAAATCATCTCAAAATACCTGACTGTATTAGAGGTTCAATTATACCTGAATACTTTGTCTACTCTTTTTTTTTAAACCAAGTCAGCATAATACATTTGATGTAAAATGAGATTAGCTAAATAAATGGCTAATCCTATAAATTGTAAACATTAGGGGAAAGCTCTGGAAACTTTAGAGAATTTTAAAAAATCATTTCCTAGAGGTGCCTGAATAAACCCTATTTTTGCCATAGTAGTTTGCCTTTTTAAAGACAGTTTTAAATAGCTCAGCGTTCAAATGTAAGCGATTTTTGAAAATCATTCAGGAAATAGCCTCCAATTTTATAGTCATTTTTTAAATCTTCATTATTAACTCTTTTGAGCTGTGGTTTTGTATGTTGAATTCCTGACAAGCACACATACTATTATGATTTGTGTTTAGCAATGCAAGTTGGAAGGAGGAGGAGCACGGCAGCAGGAGGGCGTTGGACTGTCTCAGGCGGGGAGAGCGGTCTGACCCGTTTCTGTGGGGCTCACTACCAGGCCCCTGTGCAGCGCCCGGGGCAGACTGGCAGCCAGAAAAGCGACCAGTGCTGGCGAGATTCTGCAGTTATTTGAAGCTCTGTGTTTTGCTCAGGATTTAAAGTTTGAACTTTAAAGTTTCAATACGGGAAGAATATAATGTACATTGGCATCTCTGGTCTTTTCTGCTTATACATTCTGAGTGATATTTTCCAACATCAAGCTTAATGACTAATTTTTAGAATTAGATAGCACTGTAGCAGCTGATTATTACTCAGCTAAAAGCAAATGTGTCTTTAGCATGCCTAAAAATCTTAAATTCTAGAAGACTAGACAGTGAAGTCAGATAACAGCGTTTAATGGGTTTTGGTTGTACCCCATTAGTTAAGGTAAACTAAGATGAGTGTTCGCTTTAAAAACCGACACCTTCATTTTAAGGACATTCTTAGAGGAAACTGTGTGGGCTGTGTTACTTGATGTTTTAAGAAAGTTTTAGCGATCTACATCTGACGGTCACATCTGATGCTTAGTGCACATGTCCAGGTTGCCAGGGGCCAGGTCCCATCCAAGGCGGTGCCGCCCGCTGCCAACTACTTTCAAAGGAGCGCTCTCGCCTGCAGTGTTTGCACTCACCTCGCCGAAGCTCCTGGGCCCCAGGGGCGAGTGGGGCAGCCCTCCATTCAACCATGAACTTTCTCCCTGGCTCTGTTGGGACTTGAAGGTGATGGGAATTCAAAAGCTTATCTAAGTGATTCTATTCGTTACTCAGTGAGAAAAATAAAAGCCACGGTTCTGTTGAATCAGCTGCTTTCCTTGTTTGTGGCGCGATCACCAGTGGCCAGGAACGTTTTCTGTTAGCTTCCTTTCCCGCTTTCTGTTCCAGGTCAGTCTTCGCTGTTCCCAATGGAAGATGGATTCTTGGATGATGGCCGCGGGGATCAGCCTCTTCACAGTGGCCTGGGCTCACCTCACTGCTTCACCCACCAGAATGGAGAAAGAGTGGAACGATACTCTCGCAAGGTGTTTGTGGGTGGACTGCCTCCTGACATCGATGAAGGTACATTTAGAAAGGATCATCCAGAACATAATGCCCAGAGGGCGGTGCACAGTAGGAAGCCCATAGACAGAGGTCGCTGTGATGATAACAGCGCCTTATTGGCCCTGGGCTTCAGTTTGCATCACTGTCTTTTCATATTTTCTTATCGTGGCCTGTGTGATTAGTTCACAGAAGGAAAGAGGGTAGGGCTTTGGGAGCCGAGTGAAACAAGTGATTGGACTAAGTGCAGTGGAGTAAACACCACTGGGAAAGCGTCCCAAGGCTCTGTTGTGGGCACACATGAGTGCTAACTGCTATTTTGTCTGTGTGCCATCTTGACCAAATTCAATGGGGCATTTTCCAAAAAGATGTGGACTCTGACTGGGGTGGTGGGTAGAGGCAGAAGTCTTGAGTGCACGCCAGGGTTGATGAGGACACGTGATACTGGTGGCTAGCACAGCACCGGCCAGGCAGACACCAGCTGGACCAGGTGACCGAGATTCACATGCCCAGTTAGGGCAGGATGACATAGCATTATCCCGGGGGTAATCCTGTTCAGCACGCACGGCCGGCTGGACTATGGCTGTGAGGTAAGAGAGTACAGGCGAGGTCAGGAGTCACCCTGCGGAACAGAGGGCCCACACGCTTGAAGACTGTAGAGCACGTGACGGCCAGGAAGGAGCGAGGAGCTGTTCCAAAGTGAGGAATACCGATGCCCTAGGGACATGACATCGAAACACAGCACGTGTTCTGGATGAGAAAGGAAAAGAGAGATGCTGCTGGGAGAGTTTGAAATCTGGGTGACGTGTGAATTGGGCGTTGTATCAGTACTGACTTTCTGACTGGGAGGATTGTATGGAAATAGATAAGGAAGTGACCTCGTTTTGAGCAGGTAGCAACAGTTGCGTTCTGGGTCATAGAGCATCATGTCAGAAAAAGGTGATTGGCAGGTAGGGAGACAGTTGGTAGCTTGAATCATGCAGAGGTTCAGAGAGAAGGAGGAGGGGAAGAGGCAAATGCGCACCATACTAACAGTTAGGGAAGCGAGGTGAAGGGGGCAGGCGTTCTTTGTACTGTTCTTGTAAATAGGAGATTTGAAACTGTTTTTTTTTCTAACTACTTCCCCAAAAATGATCACAAAAATACTGAAATCCACTCTTTTGCTTTGTTGTTCATTAGACGAGATCACAGCTAGTTTTCGTCGCTTTGGCCCTTTAATTGTGGATTGGCCCCATAAGGCAGAGAGCAAATCCTATTTTCCTCCTAAAGGTAATTCTTAAGATTCAATGTGCATGTACAGTTTATCCTTTCATTGTTTAATGTTTAGCATTTTCAGAAATGTTTACATTTAATGTAAAACTTTCCATTGTTAAACGTCTATTTTCCCAAATGCACCTTTAAAATTTCTACCTAATATATACTTCCAATTCAAATTTAATTTTACTTTGAGAGATGTTTCATGATATCAGACTGAACTTAATGTTGATGTTATGAGACTTTAGGCAGGAATATTATATTTTAATTTAAAAAAATGTAATTCCTTTTCCCTTCCTTAGTTTTAGTTTGTTCTTTCTCTTGAAGAATTACGCCCCCCCCCCCCCGCAAATATATATATATATGAGAACATATAAGCATTTTCCTCCTTTTTTATCAGGCTATGCATTCCTGCTGTTTCAAGATGAAAGCTCTGTTCAGGCTCTCATTGATGCTTGTATTGAAGAAGATGGAAAACTCTACCTGTGTGTATCAAGCCCCACTATCAAAGACAAGCCAGTAAGTGCATCCTAGCATGAGAATAGCTTCTGGGTTTGGCCTCCATCTCTACTCTGTTTGAAAAACTCGCAGACATCATGATGTTTCTGTTCATTGACATGTTTGTAAGTAGACTAGAAATGAAGTTTTATTATTGTTGCCAGGCTTCTAACATTGACATTCTGTATATTTGTGCATTTTATTTTGACAGTGAATTTTTGGTTAATTAAAATATTGGTAAATCTTTACTATTAAAAGACTTCACTTAGTAATGAATTTGATAAGGTAGCTGAATTTCCTATCAATAATAGATTTAGCTTATTATAGGCAATGAAATTTCCACCTTTGTTCATTTTATTCTTAAACATGAAGTGAAGGATTAGGATATATTCTTTGAAAATCTTTTCTAGTTGTATAGCTTCATTGCTTTGTAATGATGTGAATTGCTGCTTTTAAACATACAAAATACTCTGCAACAATTTTGAAGTTCTTTCCCCATGAGTTGTACTGAGAATGAGTCATTCGGGTCTGTACACTCCCTAGGTACAGATTCGGCCTTGGAATCTCAGTGACAGTGACTTTGTGATGGATGGTTCGCAGCCTCTCGACCCACGAAAAACTATATTTGTTGGTGGTGTCCCTCGACCATTACGAGCTGGTATGATTAAACAAACAAACAAACAAAAACCCTCTTTATCCTTGAGCATAAGAAATATTTTGTAAAGCTTTTTTCAGGATAAATTCTCCGTATGCATTTGAGTTAATGTCTGAGTGAGAGTTCTAGAATTGGTGTCTGGGTTTGAATTCGTGTGCTCTGCTCTCCATTAATAGTTGAATGACTTTGGACAAATTACTTAATTTCTCTAATTCTCAATTTCCTTTTCTCTCAAACGGAGCAGTGAGTGATCTACTTTATATGGCATTGTTTTGAGGGTTAAATGGGATACCAACGCAAAGGGCTTCGTGTAGTGCCTCACATGCCCACAGTCATCATTCCCATTTCCAGTCATCTGGAAAAAAAAAACAAAACCCTTCAATACTAGATTATGGATCGAGACATTTAATGTTTGTTTCCCATGTCTTCGTTTGCTCATCAGCTGTTTGCTGAGCTCTGAGATATAATAGGGTTCCCAGCAGTGTATCATGTTTTTAGCATAGTACTTACAAAAGAAATTTCACCCCCAATCAACTCATTTGAGATTTAATAGTATAAGTAAGATAAAGAACATAAAGTGAATAAAAATGCAGTTTCATAATTGTAGCACCTAATGGAAAAGATGACACATTCATTTTTTTCAAGTTTTTATAAGAAAAATTGGCAAGAGCTAGACTGTAGAGAAAGGTACCAAGATTTTGATGGAAATAAACCAGAAGGACCTCCAAAGAGCCTCCCGATGTTTTCTAGTGTTCAAATGATACTTATGCTAAGCTATACCTTGTCAACTGGTAAAGAAATGGCAGCAACATGGTGTAGAGCAGATAGACCAGGGCGCCACGCCCAGCACCACCACCCAGCTGCCTGGGACCTTGGACAGATTGATCCTCGTCCCTGTGCCTATTTCATAGCGTTTCTCTGAAGATTAAAAGAGAATATAAGTAAAACACCTGCCCTTAGTTAAAAGATAAATGGACATCTCTTTCCCTAAAAGCAGTGAACAAATGTCCTCTTGTGAACAGATAGATAGATAGATGGATGTCTGGACACCTGGTTGTAATCACGTTTGATTTTAATAATTATTATAATGACTTGAGCTCAGAGTAGAGATGAACTGCTTTTGATGAAACCTTTGGTGAGCCAGATGAGTTTTCCTAATTTCAAATACCCGCTTTGCCTCTTTCTTACCTAGTGGAACTTGCCATGATAATGGATCGGCTGTATGGAGGTGTGTGCTACGCTGGGATTGATACCGATCCTGAGCTGAAATACCCGAAAGGAGCCGGGCGAGTCGCGTTCTCTAATCAACAGAGTTACATAGCTGCTATCAGTGCCCGCTTTGTTCAGCTGCAGCATGGAGAGATAGATAAACGGGTAAGTCCTAGACTGCATTCCGGAAGTTCTAGAACTGGCCCTCTAAATGTGTCATTACCAAGATTGGAACGGGGGAGTTTTATATGACAATAAACTGACAGTGGACAGTTATCCCTATAGGACCAATTAGATGTATGTTCTGTAATGCATCTAGGAATTTCCTAGGAATTTCTTCTACCTCCTAGTCTTTTGAGTAGTCTAAGCAGAACACTATCTGAGTTTACTTGAGTCGATTTAATTTTTCCTGAGCTATCACCTACATCCATTCATTTATTCAGTTAGCTGATCGTTCAGTATTTATCATATTCTTCCTACCGCATTATATCAAGTCTGCAAACGCCCTTGAGGTCTCCCGACTGCTCTTGTTCCCACCCTGGGCGGCAAGCGCTGCAGCAGGGCCTCTTTCCCAGCGTGCCACGCACCACGTGATTGAACTGCACATCTTAGAAATGTTTCATTATAACAAATTAAGTAGAAGTCATAAACTTTCATTTGTAGCCTGTCCTGCTGCCTGAAATTCGGTAGTGAGCAGTGAGCACTGTTCTCAGCGCCTCAGGCCCCCCTTTGTTGGGCTTGTCTTCTGAGTCAAACAGTTGGGGATCGCCTCAAAGAGAGCTCTCTCCTCTGTTTCTGAGTGTGTTGTACTTGACATGCTGCGCTCCATTCGCTGCCTTATTTCCTTGCAGTCACAGACCACTTCCTATCTTTGTATTCCGTGCACCCAGTAAGTGTGTTGGTGCCAGGGACCAGAAGGCCCTGTCCCCCGAGTCTGCGGTCCGGTAGATCGAGGACGCCCCCTGACCCCCCTGCCAGAGGCCAGGCGGCTTGGTCCTCGTTGTGGTGAGACGGGAAGTGACACCCGAACGTGGGCCGGCCGCATGAGGAAGCACACTGTGTAGTTCAGCTGACGTTTTTTTCATAGAAACACCTTCCTGATGTGAAGGAAGCCACGTTTTGATTTGCGTTCCGGTGTCAGCTCTTTATTTCACGGAAGGCCGGCGCCTTCATTAGGACTGACTCGGATACCCGGCGCGCCGAGCTGTGGGAGGAAGAACGGGTTGCTCGGTTGTCCTGCGCTGGTCTCGGGTCAACGTGTAGAAGCCGTCAGGCCAGCAGCGGTTTCCACGTAATGCTCACGTTTCATCCCACGTGTGTTCCGTGTCAGCGGCAGGGCTGAACTAGGGTCGCAGGCAGCGTCACGCGACGCTGGGAGTAGGTCAAAGAGGAAGGCGTAGGTGCCTTTGCGCACGTGGAGGAAGGCGGCAGTAGCAGCCGCGGTGGATTGAAACGCGCCTGCGTGTGCTTTGTTCACGCTAAAACGTGCGTGTGAGCGAGCGAACCGTCTCCCCGGCCTGAGCGCAGCCCTCGGACGTAGGCCTCAGAGCTGCTCGGTGAGTCCGCAGGGATTCCGGCTTAATGTCCGCTCCTCCGCAGCCGGATCCCGCCAGCGCTCCCGCCACTCGGGAGTGCCCGCCCGGAGCCTGAGACGCCCGGCCCCGCCGCCCCGGCCCCCGCGCCCGGCTGCCCCCGCGGGCGCGGCCCCCTCCGTCCGGCCGCCCCGCCGGAGCTGGCGGCACCGGTGGCCGTGACCGCCCGGTGTGAGGGAGATTCAGCGGGAGTCTCGCGGAGACGGAAAACAGCCGGCCCTGATCTCCCGGGCCAGCTAACGGCCAGGCTATTTTTAATACTTGCGAGGCTCAGGTGACGGGTTGGCCTGTCGAAGACGGGAACAGGCCCAGTTTTATAAATGCACCTTTGACTTTTAGACTCGAGTAAAGCCTCCTGACTGACAGAGAAGGACGGACGCAGGGCTGGGGAGGGTGGGGCCGCAGTGCATCGTGACCCCCGGGTTCCGGCTCTGCGACGGCCACTCAGGAGGCCGCGCTGCAGAGAGAACCGCGGCCCGGCTTTGTGACAGGCGCTGCGGCCGCCCGGGCGCTGGGGCCGCCGGAGCCAGGCGCCGTCCCTCTGCCGTGGGCGCTGCAGCGCTGTCTGTGGAACCGGGGGCCCCGAGTGGGTTTAGTGGAAAGTGTAATTCCACATACAGTGAACGTCCAGCTCCACTAATTGCAATGCCGGTGTGTGTCTGTGAAAACTCTCCTGTGGGTTTAATTGCCTGTGTTCCGTGGGCGTCACTTGATTTCTGGTGGAATCCTTTCTCCCTTGAAACATGTTTATTGAATAAGACAAAAATGAAAAGCGATGTATAAAAACCTGACCCGCTTCTTCAAAGATAATTCAGTAAGAGAATTATCGACCCTTCCCTTTGGGGAAATTGGCCCAGACTCACCCCGACAGCGGCGGGCACGTCTGCGCGCGGAAGAGTCGCCTGGTCCGGCCACCGAAAAGCGTCAACGCCTGTCTCTTGTTTCTGATTGCAGGTGGAAGTTAAGCCATATGTCTTGGATGACCAGCTGTGTGATGAATGCCAGGGGGCCCGTTGCGGGGGGAAGTTTGCTCCGTTTTTCTGCGCTAACGTTACCTGTCTGCAGTATTACTGTGAATATTGCTGGGCTGCTATTCACTCGCGTGCTGGCAGGGAGTTCCACAAGCCCCTGGTGAAGGAGGGCGGCGACCGCCCTCGGCATATTTCATTCCGCTGGAACTAAAGGAGAACTGCAGTGCTCATTTTCAGGCCTCAGAATAAGTGCACTCTTCTGTTAATGCTGGCCCCTCCTCAGCCTCCTCCCGCTGGCATGCCCTTTCGCAGCAGTCTGTAACTTAACAATAGTGTAATGAAAAGAATGGCCTACGAGAGAGGGGTTTTGTAGATTCTGTGTCCCGGAAAACAATGTGGATGAACTCCTTTTTCGTATCGCCATCATGTTGCCTGGAAGTTTTATTCTCTTGTTTTGCTGGAGAACAAGAGGATCCAAACTTCCTGCAACGTTTTCCTAGAGGAGAGAGAGAAATATGAAGAGAGAAATGAAACGATAGAGTATTTTGGGTTTTTAATTAAATTATTGTTAATAATATATAAGAATACTTTTATTAAAATAACCATGCAACAATAACACTATCAGTCTGTCCTGACACAGTCTGTCCCCCAGGGAAACGCTTCTGCCTTTCTCTTTCTTTTCTTTCATCTTCGTTGCCTCTGTTTCCATCCCCTTTATATTCTTTTAACAGCAGTGGAGGAAGTTAACAATCATTAACAGGAAAGAGCAAGTGAAAGCAAACGCAAAGGCATGAGCAAGATTGAAGCAGCATGATCACTAACTTGGGGGGTTTAGAGGCTGAATATCATTTCATTCTGCCTCAGAGTTACTTCCACATCAGAAACAAAATAGTCAAGCAGGCAGAGCTAGGTTTCTTTTCTTTTAAACACTCTTTAAAATTTAGAATGTAAACATCGGGGAAACTTACTACTGAGGGGAGTGCACTTATTTCTTTTTAAACTTACTTATCTGGCCACAGCCCCAGGAAACCTACCAAAGCTAGAATTCACGACAGCTGGTGGGAAAACTAGCATTTCCTCTCCTGAGATCAAATGTATAAATTTTATTTTTGATGTTCTATGTAAACTCTATATCCTAATTTACAAACACTCATCAGGTGTCAGCCTTTGCTCTCCATTTTGACGCTAAAAAATACAAACGTACCAGATCTAGAGATACCTCAAGGATGTCATTTTTGATTGTGTTATATAGTACACTTGTAGCCAAAACTGGAAGACAAAATCAATACACAAATTGGCTGCTGATTGGCTGCTGATTGGCTTCCTTTTAGATTTAAAGTTACTTTGGGTATCCTGTAATTTAGTTGTAACATAGAAAATGGGGAAAAAAGTTTAAAAAAAGTTAAGTAGTTGCAAAGTGTTTTGCACTGTTGAACTAAGTAACTGTGTAAATCTGTGCAAAGATACGTATGTTTATCTTACTCTTCCTATAAAATAATAACATTACAGTTTCAGAACTTAGCATGGGACATAGTCAGTGTTTGAAGTGCCAACTTCATCAAGTAATGCATGCTTTATTATAAATAAAATCTAGCTTTGAAAGGCGTTATTATGTGTTGAACAGTATGCTTCAGGGGTAAATTTAAAATAGTCTCTTGAAGCCCTGGTCATGGAAGTAACTTTTATTTTAATTGACTTTATCTTATTAAATGCCCTATTCACCATTAAGAGGATTATTATCAGTGTGCAAAACATTGTTTAAAAAAATCTAATGGCAATCTTGCTAGTTGTGCTACCTAACAGTACCATCTCGGATCCTTCAAAACCAAAGACTTGGCCCAGCACTGCGGTGGAACCATCTGGCTGATGCCCCCGACCGATTCTCTTTAGGAAAAGCAGCCCTTTATTTTTAATACAGGCTTTAACGAACTGTGTACCTGGGAAGTTCCAAAGGTCAAAATGGAGGCATTTGCTGTCTAATAGTCCAACACAGAGTGGGAGCTGCTTTTCGAGAATTCCCTGCAAATGTTGAAAGCAGTCATGCGGAGGGAGGGTGCTCTTGTGCAGCTGGTCAGGGACTTTTTTTTCTTTTCTCCTGAACTACATGATTCTAAGTGGAATGTTCATTTGCCTCTTTCTTCTTTTACACGCTTGTAGGTGGCTTGGGGTGTGCTATTGTGCTGTTCCCACTCAGTAAACAGGTGTGATGAGTTAACAAGAAATAACACTGTTTGAGAACTAGCTTTGAATAATAATTTTTCCCTTTGTACATGACCTGCTGAATTTCGGTACAGTGTTTTTGTAGCTAACTTATTTTGTCATGCACATAATGTATATTTGTTATGCACTACTTTTGTATATCTTGTTTTTCCAACAGTGAACATTTTTAGGCACACTTTTCACTGACGGGATATCTCTTTATGCAATACCTCAATTTTTCATATTGCAAAGAGTAGCTTTTTGTACTTTTATTACTGAGAGATCTTCATATACTTCATTTTTTAATATAAATAATTTTAATAAATTTTATTTTCTTATATTCTGCTTTTTATACATTTCAGTGCTCTGCATACATTTTAAATTATGAATGTTGTGCACAGCAATGCTATTTTAGAGTCTGCAGAGAAGAGAAAGCATGTTGCTTAAACATCCTTCCCCAACACCAGCTATTGGTGTACCTATAATTTAAGAAATAGTCTATGTAAAGTCACAAATTAATGAAAAAAATTCGCATGAAAATGACAGATAACACTGTAGTTCCTAAAAAACAATTAAATGCATAAGCATATGTTAGAAATTTAAAATAACAAAATTGTCTACAGCTTCTTACTAAGTTTTTAAAATTATTCATAACGCAGACATTTTTGGTGAATGTTTAGCCATTTTTAATATTAATAAATTGATGTTAAGTGTTTGATTCAGAGATGTCTGCTCTTTTAAATTATATATAAAGAAAAAAAAAAACCCAGCCTGCCGCAGGACAGGTGTGTAATGTTAGTGTGCATGACTAAGGTAAGAAATCGCTATTCTACTAATATTTACTTGTGATTGTGTGACAAGTGTGTTTACAGATTATTTGGTTACACTTCAATTTACAGGGCATAAACAGTTAGTATCTATTACTCTGAACTTTATCGATTACATGTCCTTCAGATTACATGGGATTGTAGTTGGGAGTTACCATGTAACTCAAAACATAATTAACATGTAATTAGTTTACAGATTTTAGGGTATCACTTCAATTTACCAAGCATGTAGTTGTAGCGCACTTAGCATGGCACCAGCCATGTACTTACAATGTAGTTACAGAGTAATTACATGGTTATTTTTGCAATGTAAAATAAAGTGTTTCTGATTATTTTCTATGTAAAAGACCCCCCCGCCCCCTCTGGTCCCCACGCTTTGGTATAATATATCTACTTCCCATACACAGACCTCTGCAGAGTGCAAAATAAAACTTGCAGTGAGTGAATTAGCATTTTTTGAGAGTGCTGTTGGAAAGACTTGATAATTCACCCCTTTTGTTTTGAAGAGTTGAATCTTCTGTTCAAAGGTGATTTAAAACTTGAATGTGATGAATTGTGGCAAGTTAACTTCAAGTTATGTGCAATACTTATTTCAAACTTTTGAAAGATCTTTGCAGTGTAATTCTTTGTTTTTAATTGCAGACATTTAAAAATGTCATTTTCTACTGTTAAGAGTAATCCTCTTTCTTGCTGGTGTTTCTAAAGAAAAGAATCAGAAATCAATCTTTCTACTAATGTAAATTTGAGATTATTTTTAAAAATGGAATAAAAGAGGTTTTGGTCATTTGCTTTATTTTATTATCTTATTTTAAAGCTACTGTGATTGATAGCATTGTAAGAATCGGGACAATATTGTATTCAACTGTTTTATTTTTTATATTTTTAAAATTTAAAGTATAATTAGTTTTTATAATTTGCATCAGATTTTTGTTATATTTTTTGGAAGTGAAACTTTTAGCAAGTGGGTGTCTAGTTTTTACTAATCCCTAATGTTTTTTTTTTCCAGTGTATTGCTCATATTATCAGAAGGAAAAGTTATTTAAGTATGTCAGTTAATTGTACTACTTGGCTGAATTTCCATATAGTTTTTACTGTGTATGGGGAGGTTGTAGTATTTATTATAGCATTTTAAATAAGGGTAATTCATTTTTTATTAAAGTCATTTTCACGTTAAGTTCTTATTTTTGTATGTTCTACTCTTAAGTTATATAACACAGTTCCTTTTTTAAAAGAGTTCATTTGTTGAAGTGCTAGTGGAAAATTAATGTTATTAAATAGTTTGCAAATGACTATTTATACCAGTATGCATATAATTTTTAAATATTTGTAATGTGAGATGTTGAATGAATAAAACTTTTAACTCAGTGTTCTTTTAATATACTTATTTATTTTCAACCTAAGTAGGTTATACTTCCCTTGTTGGGAAAATAACATTTAAAAAATACTGGGAATGTATTCCTGGGCCACGACAGAATGAAGCAAGAAGACATCCAGTCCCGTGAGTACTAGTGGTGAGGGAGCACAGCCGGCATGAGCCCGTACGGCCTGCACGGTCATCCCCACGCGGCCTGCACAGGCCTCTCTGTAGCCGGGAGTACGTTTTCGAGGCCTGAGGCCCAGGTCCATGCGTTCGGTCATTGCTCGTGGCCAACTGTCCAATAAAAGTGAGGGCTTACGTGTTTGTTTAATAGGGAAAGTCGGTATCTGGGAGGTTTCCTTGTGGGTTTGTCAATGAAGACTCTGGATTTCTGGCCACTCTACAAGAGGCTCCTGGTTAACAGGTCTCCTTCTACTTTCAGTTGCTCCCTAGACCCTACGTCACAGGATGTGGCCCCGGGGATTTTCATCTCTACAGCGTGGGAGTTGAAAGTCTTATCTTTGTTTCGGTTCATTAATTGTGGACTGCTGAATACTCTTAATGTGTTAGTATTTCTATTTTAAATTGCATTTTCAAAGTGTTAACTTGAGGATTTATTATAACAGAAAGTATCACATGGAGAATATCTCATTTTGTGAAATTTAATTTCTGCTCTTTTTTACCTTGAATATAGTTATTTTTAAGACTAGAAGGAGTAATAGTTGTTCTGAGACAAATGGACTTAGAGGCCTTTTGCTTCTAAATTGTCTTCCTCAGTATGCAACTCTTCAGACTATAGGGGCTCCTGAGAGTTGAGAGAGAAGCATCGATTTGTTTTTCCACTTACTTACACATTCATCGGTGCCTTGACCGGAGATCGAACCTGCAACCTTAGCATATCAGCATAACGCTCTAACCATCTGAGCTACCCAGCCAGGGCAGCAACCTGTGCTTTGACTCTTCCATTCCATGATACACTTTCTTTCTGATAATTCATATAGTTTGCCTCCTTCAAATATTTCCCTTTGCAAACGTCCCCCAGCACCCAGCCCCCATGAGCTTCGAATGAACTCTAAGAAATCAGCAAATGAACACTGTGCCCTACCATGAACTCTTTCTCTAGCAGTACCAAATCAGTCTCTTATTAGAGAACATCTTGTTTTGGCACGCCTGAGTCTTGTCGTGATATTTTAAATTGGAATCTTTTCCTAGTCAAGTAGGGTGTCATTGTTAGCTGGCAGGAAAAAAAGAGTGTCACAGTGATTCAGCGGGCGACCAGAGTTGGACGAGTACAGTTTGTCTCAAGGAAGTGTGAAGGGAACAGCAGCCTCCACATCCAGTGTGTGCAAACCGCTCGTGTTCTCTGCTGCGGACGATCTGAAGGCACGCCAGGGAAAACTGCCTGTGGGTGGAGGGGGCGGGGGGAGGTGATCAGTGAGCTCGAACGCCAAAGGCCGCGCCTGAACCTCCGCGTTCCTTTCCCTCGGCGCTCTTGCAGTAAGCAGGGCTCTGCTACCATAAAAATGTCAACGTGATCAAGCACATGTCACCATTTTAAGGAGATTATTTTCAACTTCTACGCCCCCCACCCCCAGCACCAAAAGAGAGAAGAAAGAAACATAGCCAGGAATGACCCCCTCAGACTACTAAAGACACGAGGGTGTTGAACACTCCTTCTGAAATAAGTTACCCAGGAAGAGAGCTGGTGGCAACTGAAACTGGGGAAACCACATCAGAGGTGTCAGGCAGGCTCATAAGGGCCCCAAGTCTCCGCCTTGGAATGAATGGAAGTGTAACTCGCTGCTCCTATTCGAGGGGAAGTGAAGCAGCACCTGTGCGTTCAGCTGTCGGTGGGGGACTCAACCTGGTGCAGGGGTGTGGGACGGCCTCCCGGGTCGGGGGTCCTCAGCTCCTCTGACTCTGCAGTGACAGGGTGCTTTGGTTCAGGAAGAAGAGAGTAGTAATCAGTGATCGCTGGTGCCTCAGGCACTTGCATATGTTAGCATGGTCACTACCCCATAAAGTACAGGGAGTCCTCGCTTGATGTCGTTGATAGGTTCTGTGACTTTAAGCAAAACATGGTATAAGGAAACCAATTTTACCATTGGCCAATTGACATAAGTGAGTGCTAAATTCCTACAGCATCTCATCAACATACTGTAGCGGCATTGAATGAAACGCCATTATTTGAGGACCCGCTGTGCTGAACACAATACAGAACTGTGCCACGGGGCTGCTGGGGGACTTGGGGGTGCACCTTGGTGTGTGGGGAAGCCCGGGTGCCAGTCCCCGCCTACCAAGCCCCGAAGTCTTCCTCTGTCCACCTCACTACCCTGGAGTAGTTTGTTTTTAAAACAAAAGTATCATTTCCAAACCTAATCTGGGCGCAAGCTATCATATCTGAAGCTGCAGAGGTCAGCTAATGAGACAGCTTGCTAGAACATGAGTTTGGATTGAGTCCTCACGTGAGGCCACTCGCTCCCTAAGAACTGGCTTTTGGTTACGGCACTTGCTCCTTTGCTCCA